CTGACGTACGGCTTGTGACAAGCTGTGTTGGCCAGAGGAGGGTAGTGCTGTCTGTAGCAGATGTAAGCGAAGATGAGGCCAATGACGCCGCCAACAAAAGAATCTAGCCGGGAAGGAGCACAACGGGAGAAACACATTAGTATTCACTAAAATGTGGCCACTTGTGTTTTCTAGAAAGCTCTTTTCTCGTCTGCTCCAAAGTCAACTGAAAGGCACATGGTTTGAATGCACCAATGGCCCTGCAGAAAAAGGATGCGTGATCTCCTCTCATGAGATTTACAGCCTCTGAAAACTCACAGCAGGAGCAGCTAGGAGTCAGTTCTAACTTGATGGTACACACATAACAACAAGAACCAGAGCTTGCTTTGCTTATCCTTGGTGTTATCTGACACTGAGAGGTTCCCTGATGCATGGTGAACCCAGGAATACACTGGATGGGTTTTGCAAAACCATGTCACACCCTGGGTCACCATGTCTACTCATTGTGTGGTCATGTTACACATGAAAATACAACAGTGCAAAACAACTATGAGATATCATCTCCCCCCAGTAAGAATAGCAAAACTTAACAGAGCAGCAAACAACAAATGCTGGCAAGGTTGTGGTGGGAGTATAAAATGGTGCAACCACTATGGAAGGCTGTATGATGCTTTCTCAAAAAGTTGCAAACAGAAATACCGTTTGACCCAGCAATTCCACTACTGGGACTATACCCTAAAGAAACCAATAACCTCCACCCAAGCAGATATATGCACACCCATGTTTATCACTGCTTTGTTCACAAAAGCAAACAACCCAAGTGCCCATCAACAAACAACTCAACAGAGAAGCTATAGTATATTTACATAATGGAATACTATGCTGCATTGCAAAACAAGGAGCTCATGAAATATTATACAAAATGCGTGACCCTGGAGGACATTATGCTGAGTGAAATATCTCAATCACAAAAGGACAAATATTGCATACTGCCACTATTGCAAAATGGAACTGATATTATGGTTGAGGGAAGACTGAGAAAGAGGGGAGGAATGATGTATACTGCATTGAAACAGATGAGGGAGAGAACTGTTTAGAAGGGATATATGATTGGGTATTATTGTCATAACAGGAGTCCAGAATGAAGGCTGCACAGTTCAGTGGACTTGGGGGGAGGAATTGTATAACAATGAAAGAGTTTTTCTTTTTCTTTTCAAGGAGAAGAGTGAATTGGGGGGACGGGTGGGCACTGAGCAAAGTGCAACAATGAATGACTGGAAACCCGAAGTCTCTGTAAACTTTCATTAAAATGAAATTAAAAACAAAAGAAAAAGAACATACAAGAGTGGTCATCTCTGTTGATTGTACTCTGTTTCTCACACCCCATCCTGGAACCGCCAGGGGCTCTCTGATCCTCCCCACCTTCCTCCTCACAAAGCAACTCAGCACGCAACTTAAGAGTTCTATTTCCTAAGTTAGCCATGCAATTGTTACTGATGCTTTTCGTAGCATTTTAAATAAACTTCTAATGAACTTGGGAACGTTTGTCACCAAGAAATGGGAAAGCACTGTGTCGCATGAATTCTTGAGCAGGGCCATAAGGCGTAATTACTGTGATTAAGTGAAGTTCCTCAAATGGGGAAGCTCATCACGCAGCATACGGTCACCAGCCTTCACAAAGTGCCGGGGCTTTTTCTAGTTCAAGGTCTTCAAGTTGCACCACTGTGCTGTTTCTTCCTTTAACTTCAGGGAACATCTCCACAGGGTGTTATTTTATTAGCATCTAAAATGATCCACAACATCTGCATTTGATTCAATGGCTGTGAAACAGACCAAAGTGCGAAGCCTACAAATAACACAATTCGCCTTTCTGTAACGTGGCATTTCATTAGGTGGATCATTGACCAAAAGGCATAAAGCAATTCCAAGCCTGAGTTCGCCAGGCTCACTGGCTTAGCTGTAAGAGCAGGAATGGTGGCTCTGCTGATGCTTCTTCTCGTTTAATGGAATGAGCTAAATGTGGCAGGTTGCACCCTGCAGAAGTTATTCGAGGTAAAGAGCTCAACACAAGGGCTACCTACCCTCTTTCTCAGCAAAGTCATCGGGGGCATCGTTTATTACAAGGTGGTAAACAAGAACCAAAATGACGATTTATTTTGTGTGGGAGATTGTCACCAAGAGCCTCAAGCGGGCTGTTGTCATTCTGGTCAACCTGAATTTACAGCAAAGCAGGCAGCCCCAAGTAGGACTTCGTGGCCAAACCCACTCGGGATTGGCTTTACTCCAAATACGGCAGCCTGCAAATGGACTGCTCCAGGGAAAAATGTGTGCACCTCAGAGCCCCAGGAATGCAAAACACCACTGCCTTCTTGCTAAGTATTGGCTTCATTCATTCAATGCAGGTGTACTGTGCACGTAGCAGGCATCAGGTAAGAAGCTTACGCTGAGATACAACACTGAGCCAGACAGACACGTCCCTGCCTGCCAGGTCATGAATCTGCCATCTTAAAATGGGCAATGTGAATCTAACAGATTAAAAACACACAAATGCAAACGTGGTACCGTCAAGTCCATTCCGACTCATGGAGACCACCCATCAGGATCCAGGGCTATTAATCTTTCCAGGAGCAGACTGCCTCACCTTTCTCCCAAGGAGCAGCTGGTGGACTTGAACGTCCAATATCTCACTTAGCAGACCTCCATGTAAATTCACTATGCTACCAGGGCTTCTTAAAAATATAGGCAAACACTAGCTCTGGCAAATTCACAACTCTGTGAGGGTACTGTTTGTTTCTCTCTTCCAGTGACTGGACTATCAGTGAAGCTTTCTGTTTTAGAGACTTTGGAGCAGGTAGAAGCATATTTATCCTACAGAGTACAAGCTGGAGAAAAGTACAAGCTGGAGAAACAGTAGCCATGTCTACCCGATTCAATACCATACCTACAGCAGAGCACATGCCTGGAACACAGACACAAGAAATGTAGGACTGGACGAATGAAGAATGGATGAGTTAATGTTTAAAGAGTAATTTTTTTTGAGGGGGGGTTCCTTTTTTTAAAGGAAAGTATTATTTAAAGAGTAAGGTTAATTATTAAAAAAAAATCCTAGTGCAAAGAAAAAGTATCAATAAGAAAGGAAGACCATCTCATTAAAGCCATTCACTCAACTGAGCACCTACTATGTGCGACCTCAACAAAAGATACAAAATCTCTGCTTACATGGAGGACATGGTAGACCCCTTCCATTGCATACTGTCACAGCCAGGTGGATTATGTGGAGACCATGCTGTTGTTAATGTTTATTATTTCTGTTCCTTTACTGAAAAAGTTAGCTGACTTCTGTTCAAGTGGATGAGAAAAAACAGGATCATTCAAGGCAAAAATAAACTTCCTTTTGTAGTTATTGTTACATGCTATCACATCAGAACAGACTCAATAGAGAACTCTCTAGTGTTTTTACAGACTATGTATTTATACTTTTTACAGACTATAGATTGACCAGTGGGAGACCTCCCACCTTTCTTCTGCAGAGCAGCTAGTTGACTCAAACCACTTGCCTTTGAGTTGGCAGCACAACTCCGTACCCACTTCTCGTTGTTAGGTGCCACCAAGTTCATTAGGACTCACAGCAACCCCGTGAACAGTGAATCGGAACCTTGTCCTAGCCTGTGCTGTCCTCAGCATCTCTGATGTACGTGAACTCCTTGTTATAGTCACTGTGCCAATACACCTCCTCAAGGGTCTTCTCTTCCACTGACCCTCCAACGTTCCAAGCACGCTGTCTTTTTCCAAGGACTGGCCCCTTCTACAACGCTTCACCATCCTTGCCTCCAAGGAACACCCCTGGATACACTTTCTCCAAGACCCATTTGGTTTTTCTATTTTGTGAAGACAGCAAATGATGACAAAGAGAGGCTCAGGGAACGTGGAGGATGGGCTACAATTTTAAACAGGGCGGCCATCCTTAAATAACTAATCACATAAGCTCTTGCCCAGGGCTCAACCTCAGGAGGCAGGAAAAGGTAAACTAGAAAGATCAATGGAAACACGAGTCATGAAGGAAGGGTACATCATGAGTATTATAACTGACATAATTAAATATGCATGGACATTGTTTTTACATGTCTTCAAGTCAGCTACGACTCACAGCGACCTTATACTTAGAACAGATAAGCATCTTCCCTGATCCTGTGCCTTCCTCACCATCTCCACCAGGCCTGCGGCCTCTGTGAGAGGCACCGTGTCCATTCAGCTGGTTGAGGGACTTCCTCTCGTTTTCTGACCCTCCACCTTTCCAATCACAACATGCCCTTCCAAGAACAGGCACTTGCTGATAACACACCTCCAGGTATGTGAGACCAAGCCTCGCCATCCGCGCTTCTAAGGAACGCTCTGCCGCACACAGTTCTTTATTCTTTTAGTAATCCGTGGTATAGTCAATATGACTCACCACACAATTCAAATGTATCAATTCTTCTCTGGTTTCCCTTCGTCATCATAGTATACCCTTATTGTATTCAAACAACTGTTTTTTTGATTCCTGGACAGGTTCCTCAGGAGCACAGTTAACTGTCCTGAGATTCCCATTCTTCTCAATGTTATCCATAATTTATTATGATCCACAAAGTAAAATGCCTTTGTATAATCAACGAAATACAAGTAAACAACTTTCTAGTTCTCTGCTTCCCACTAGGATTGATCTGACAACAGCAATGATATCCCTTGTCCCACAGCATTTCTGAATCCATCTTAAGTTTCTGGCAGGTCTCTGTTGATGCCATTTTTAACTAAGCTTCTGCAGTATTTTACCTAATAGTAAAGATACAGCTCAATAATTTCTGCATTCTGTTGGATCACTTCACAACAAAATGGGGGGGAGGAAGAAAAAAAAAGATGAAATAAGAGAACTGAACAGAAGGTTTCAAAATGCAGCTCTAGTAGACAAAGCAAAATATTACAACAACATGTGCAGAGACTTGGAGTTAGAAAAACACTGGGGAAGAACGTGTTTTGCATGTTCCTTTGCAAGAAGATAGAGGGAAAAGGAGAGAGTGGAGGAGGGAGGGGGGAGGAGGGAAGGGAGAGGAAGGAAAGGGGGAGGAGAGAGAAAGTGGAGGAGGGAGAGCGTGGAGGAGGGAGAGCATGGAGGAGGGAGAGCGTGGAGAAGGGAGAGCGTGGAGGAGGGAGAGCGTGGAGGAGGGAGAGCGTGGAGGAGGGAGAGCGTGGAGGAGAGAGCTAGGATGAAGGAGAGGGAGAAGCCACCAGCCTCTGTCAGGCTGCTGAGAAGCCAGAAGTCTTACATGTCACTCACACAATGTCCAGGTCAGAAACACCCCATCTGTGGAGCTGATAAATTCCTGAGGGTCCATTTCAAATCTCAAGCTCATCATAATCCAGTCAGGTCAACCTGCTGCCTGCAGACTTCCTCCAGGTCACATAAAACTGTGCAAGTAACTGACATGGTGCTTCCACCCTCAGCTTGGACAGACTAATGACCGCTTGCTTCCTTCCTTGAGACCCACTTTTCTGGATCACATTCAGAGTGATATGATGTGGTGACAACATGATACAGGCACCCAGGCTGTTTACCATCATCTTCAAAGACGTCTAATTAACCAGCGCTGGGGGATGGTTAACTACCACCAACTGGAGTTGCAGAAGGAGAGCGTGAACCCAGACGTGGACTTGAGCAGTAAGAACTTGTTACTGTGCCCACTGATGGCGCAAAACGACACAGCCCTGAGATGCCTACATGTAACTGCCCACTGACTGGAGACCACACACAGGACGGTGAGTAGAGGCAGAGGTCCGTAGCTCAGTAAACAGGCCGCTCATTCTCCCCCTGTAGCATAGAGATTCCATGCATTCAGTGCCTGAAAGGCTATGGTTGCTCAGAGGGACAAGTCTCTTTGTGATGCACCGGGCTTCAATCGTTTCCAGTGGATCTGAAAGCCAGCGCGGCACAGACATAAGAACATGAACCACGGGCCTATTTCATATGGACGCAGTTAGCCATCCTTCTGGAGAAGTTCCTCTTCGTGTTTCGTGTGGCCTTCCCAGCCCCTGGCCTGCGCCCCAACACTTTGCTCCCATCCTAGGACGCCAGTCTTGTCTAACTGGGGAAGATGAAAAAGCACAGAGGGATACTGATAACAGAAAATGAGACAGAAAGTAGGCATGGTAATGAACAGAGGAAGGCAATGAAGATTACGGGCCATTTATCGGATATAAATATGTAATTGAGTAATCAAATGTATTTCCACATTAGGCACAGTTACTTAAATCAGAACTGAAATGGAGTCATAAAAATCTCATAATATTAAATACTGCATAATACCGCTGGTATAAAACAGGACTGACATGGGGATTTTGGGGGGGAAACTAAGAAAAGAAGGGATAAATAATGTACATGGCATTGAAACAGACAAGGGAGAGAACTGTATAAAAGGAATATATGATTAGGTATTATTGGCATGACGAGAGTCCAGAATAAGAGCTGCATAGTAGAGTGGTCTTGGGGGTGGGGGTAGGGGCTGTATAAAATGAAGAATTTTTTTTTCCAAAGAAAAAGCCAAGCTGAGGGGGAGGCAGGGAGGAAAATGTGCAAGAATGAATTAATGGAAATCCAAGGCTTTTTTTTTCCTATAAAGGTTCATTAAAATCTTAATTAAAAAAGAATCTCATATTAATGCACTTAAATAGAAGTCTATGAGGAGAGGGGACGCATCTTTGTTGATGCCCATGGACACCCCAGGAGCTCTCAAATGGTGGCAACCCCACGTATAGTCACTGGGAAGCTCAATCCACTGAAGGGAAGTAATACATCGTTTCTCTCAGAGGCGCTGCCCACCCGGTACATGCAGTGGTCCTGTCCACCTGCTCTCTGGAGGCCTCCTTGCTTCCCCCTCCGAAGAGTGAGCACTGAAGGGATACAAGCTCCCACCGGAGTGCTGCTGCTTCTCAACATGACCGGGAAAGGGACAGAGCTGAGGCCCAGCAAAGACCGGGTTTCTCAGCCTGGGCACTGCTGACACCTGGGCTGGCGGGCTCTCTGTCTTGGGGGCTGTTCTCTGCACTCTAGGAGGTGGAGAAGCAACCCTGGCCCCTGCTCACCACGCCACGAGCACCTTCCTCAGATGTGACAACCCAAAGATCTCCTGGTGGGCTAACTTATCCCCAGGCAAAACCACTGGTATTATATCACTCACAACAAAACAAAACAAAAAAACCAAAATAAAAAACCCACTGGTGTAGAAGGGGACAGTTATCTCTCAACCAGGTGTCTTCCTGGGAAGAAGAGGGCAGGTCAAGTGAGTCCAGCTGCACTCTGAGACCTTAATCCATCTCTGAAGCCAAAGTGCTGAGTAAATGTGCAAACTGGGGGCTCAGAGCTCACAAACAGACTCAGCTTCCAAAGCCTGTCTCTAATCCATGTTGGGAAACACAACACATCGTCCCACACCCTCCACAGAGGTGATGTATTCAGCAGGAGGGATGCTGACCTGCATGTGCACAGTGTTGTAAGCGTCAAAGTCATTCAAGGTCATTGCTTCACCTGACCAAGGAAGGCATGATGGGAGCTGTCGGGGGACTACTGTGCTGGTTTTTCAAAGCAGCAGCTTTGGTTCAGAAGGGGTGTGAGGGGTAGTCCATACAAGGCCAGTCAGCTCCTAATATCCTTTGCGGGGAAATGTCCTAACCATGTGGGCAGTATGCGCTCTCAGTTCCGGGGGAGCAGCGGGCATCCTTTGCTGATAAAGGAACAGAGGCTCTGTCCCCATCCCTCCGACAGTGTAATGTCACATGATCCAGGACTTCTGAGCACAGCGGGCTCGGACTGAGCCTTGCAGGTCTGTCATCTTCCTCAGATGACCTCGAGACCTCGCTGAGCACTTTACGCAGCCGTGTGTGCAGACCATGCTCCCATCTCTTTCCCTCCATCCTCACTCAACCCCACCCCAGCTCCAAGCCGCTGCTGGGGCTCTCGGGTTCCCAGACCATGTAGTCTCTCTCACTGAGGCTGCCCAAGAGCAGGGAAGGTGCTGGGAGCCGCATGAGAGCCCAGGGAAGAAGCAGGAGGGTGGTGGGGCAGGCATCGCAGCTCAGAGCCCCCTCCCTGCTGGCCTCTCTGTGCCTCCCGACCACTCAGAGGACTCAGCAGAAGACAGGTGCCACCAAGTAGCTGCAGAAACAAAGACAAGAGGAGCAACAATGCCTGGTGCAGCAGGACGGCAGACAAGGAGAAGAGGGACAGGGTCTTGGGCAGGTGACAGGAGGTCACAGACATTTCCTTTGTTTAAGGATGACTCACACAGCGGAGCTGGGGAGCACCACTCCTCAGATGTCATCAGAAATAATGGGCTTGTTATTAATTCAGATTCCTGGGCACCACCCCAGACTCGCTCTAGAGCCTCCGTCCCCAGCTCAGAAGCCTGATCGGGATGATGGTGGCCTGCCCTGCGAGGCCGCACCTGTCACGGGCATCCCTCTCCCTGCTCCATCGTCTGTCTCCAGGCGGGCAGTGGCCTGCAGAGGGACACGGCATGGTCAGTTACAGCCCACGGACAAGCCCCTTAGTGGTGCTGTGCCATTTTATTTGTTTTGTCACACATCCCTGGGCAGCTGCACACAGGGAGCCCCCTCCCTGCCTGGCAGCTCCTGCCCAGAGCGTGACTGGTTTGCATCTCTGAGCAGAACGCGGCTCCTAGGAGAACATCAGTGATGAGCACTGTCCTTCAAGGTGGATCTATGCGCAAAAGGAGCCAAAGCCACCTGGCATCCAGTCTGAGGCAGGAGGCAAGTGATCCAGCAGGGAAAGTACAGTGCGCCGCCCCCCCCCCAGGAAGACTTTATGTCAGAGCCAGGAAAGCTCTGGCTGTCAGCAGGGAGTGAGTGGGCAGGGTCCCCCTGAGCGCCCTTCGTACCCCCACTAGGGCAGCAGGAGGTCTGGATACACTGCAATGGGCAGCTTTGCTCTGGAACTCTGCGGCTGAGTCTGCACCGGCCCTGGGAAGGTGGGCGGGCCCTGGGAAGGTGGGACTCACCTTGCCAGTGATGTTTGTAGTCACACATACGGGACAGGGCGATCATCATGGCACAGTAGAGGGGCAGGATGGCGGCGCACAGACGCCAGCTCTTGCCCCGGCCACTCTCAGTGAAGCAGTGCAGCTTGCCGGCCAAGTAGAACGTCGTGAAGCCGAGGCCAGAAAAGGCAACTGCCAATGAGAAAGAGCAGGAGTTACTCCAGAGGGTGGTGAGTGCCAAGGGCACAGGGCGTCCTGGGCATCTTGTCCACCAGCTTGCACATCCCCATGGCCAAGGTCATGCTGGAGCCAGGTACCAGCCAGTCTTCTGTGTCCTGCTAGGACCTGAAGAAGGAACAGAAGCACTGTCCCTGTCCCTTCTACAGCGTAGTGTCACATGATCTAGAACTTTCACGCACAGAAGGCTCCAGGCCCAGCACTGCTGGTCTATCATGCTCCTCACGTTACCTTGAGACCTCGCTGAGCACTTTACCCAGCCGTCTGTGCAGACCATGCTCCCATTTCTTTCCCTCCATCCTCACTCAACCCCACCCCAGCTCCAAGCTTTCCAGGTACTTTCAAACCATGAGAATAACCTCCAGGCTTGTAAAGACCCAAGGCTTATTCTAGCTCCTCCATCCATCCATCCATCCATCCATCCATCCATCCATCCATCCATCCACCCACCCATCCATCCGTTCATCCCTTCACTCAGCAATGATTTCAGCAGCACCCTCTGTGTGCTAGGCAAGCTGTGTGATAGATGTGGGAAACAGAAGATGCTCTGCATGTGACCTGGTCCCAAGAAGCTCAGAGTCTGGCTGAAGGAACTGGCCATGCTAACACATATCTCTAATACCATGCGTTCAGTTCTAGAACAGAAAAGTATGTAAAAGGGTGAAGGGAATGGTGGCACCTACGGTTGGTTTTGTGGAGAAGGCATTAAACAAGCATCAGATGGACAAGGGAGTCAGAGGGCTTCCAGACTGAGGGCCAGATGGACAAGGGAGTTTTAGAGGGCTTCCAAATGAGGGCATGAGTGTCCAAGGTGCAAGGCAGGCATGTGTAAGTTACAAAAGGCGAGCTACTTCAGAAGAGCTGAAGACCAGCAGACTTAGGTGGGCGGAAAGGTCAGGCAATGCTCTCTGCAGATCAGCAGAGGCTGCATGCTGAAGCTGGTCTCATTCAGTGAGGAGAGAACAGCCCCTTGAGCAGGGGAGTGGTACACTTACTCTGTCGTCTTTGAAACTCTACTGAATACTTTTCCTTCAAGATGCTCAGGGCTTGCCACTGGCCTCTTTACATCCTGACTAGGGGTACGTTAATGGAACAAGAGCGAAGGAGCACAAGAAGTCAAGGGCCTCGTCCAGCTTCACACAATTAATCCTGGGGCCTCAGGCTGCAAGTCGACCCTGAGGATGCTCTAAGATGACGCCAAAATAACACTCTTGGACAGAGATTAATTGATCCTCGCAGCGGAGGAAACAGCAGTGGATTTAGATAAACTAGGTCACTGCTGTCCTGAAGCTTACAGACACAGGAGGCTGCCAATAAATGAAAGGACAAATAGAGATGCAGACATTCCAAATAGCAAATACATCAAACTTAGGTAACATGAGCAAGAGGGGCCGGCTTGGTGCCACAGTGAGACGCGGGATAGGGGAAAGCCAGCTCTCCATCGTACCACGGGCAGGATCTGCAAAGTCATGTATGGATTGCCAAAGCTTCTAGGCCCCCCCAAAAGGAGAAATATGTATTCATCAACTTGACTAAATTGGTTGTATGGTAAGTTCTATAAACACCCCAAAATGGCTAAGCCAGTCAAGTTCTTTTTAAATTGGTTTTTCTAGTTTTTCCTGGAATGAGTGCAAACTGACTGTCCCCCTAATGTTTTTAGCCATACCTGGAGAATTAGATACACATTAAGCAAAATGTTGGGGAAAAGCATGATTTTTTTTTTACAACCTCTAGTTACAAACCACCTCCCATAGCTTATTATATAAAAAACTTGAAGTATATAAAAGATTCGTAGTAGCAGATATTTCTTTACAGCTGTTTTTGTTGTTGTTAAATGCCATCAAGTCATAGGCGACGCAGAGCGACCATATCCAGGAAAGACCTGAACACTTGTATAGTTTTCATCCTTGCTCCAGGTTCTAGGGTTTCCAGAAACATCATTGTTGTTACTGTATATTATTATTATCTATAATGTTAGTTATGCACAGAAAGATACACTGTCTACTATACACAATGGTAAACACCGAGTAATTGTTAATAGATACAAATTTGGCTTCAAGAATATTTAGGTACAGAACATTGTCCTATTCTGAAAACTGCCTATAGATTGTCAGGCACCTTTGGAGGTGCCTCAGGATGGGTTTGAACTTGTAATTTCTCAGTGAGCAGCTAAGAACCTTAAAAGTTCACATCACCCAGGGGTTCTTGGTTGAAAGAGGCTACTCAAAACTCTGCAGGTTCTGTATTCTTCTGTTTGTTGATGGGCATTTGAGTTGTTCAGATTTTCTTGTTCTTGTGAATAATGCTGCCATGAATACAGGTGTACATATCTCCATTTGTGTCTCAGCTCTGATTTCCATGTGGTATATTCCTAGCAGTGGAATAGCTGGGACATATCAGATTTCTATGTTCATCTTTGTGAGGTACTGGCCAGCTGCCTTCTATAGTGATTGCACCATTTAACAATTCCATCAGCAGTCCATCAGAGTCCTGATCTTTCCACATCCTCTCCAGGAGTTACTGTTTGCTGTCCTGCTGAATCCAGAAACTGTGGAGTATTCACACAATGGGATACTATGTGGCACTAAAAAACAACGAAGTATTTCTAAAATATGACACAACATGAGACACTTAAGGAGCATCATGTGAAATTAATTCAGTCACAAAAGGACAAACACTGCATAAGACCACTATTGTGTAAATAGAAAAAAATAGCTGAGAGAGATGTGTGTAATTGTTTAAACGCAGAAAGGAGAGGAGAGAAGTGGAGTGGGTAAAGGAGGGCATTATAACTCAGCAGGGGTTCATGGGAGGATAGGGGGTTGAAGGAACAGGAAAGATGCAATGGGGACTTGAAGAGATGGGATATTAACAAGTATAGGTGAATAGTAATTTTGTAACACACAATGTATGAATGAATGAATAATACAAAATGTAAATGAATGAAACTCAATGTAAATGAACGATTATAAAAATTTCAATATTAAAGCAAAACAAAAAAAATCCCTCTAAGTTCAAGAGCTCGGGCTGATGGTCAGAGGCCAGGCCCCCAGCCACATCTGCTCTCCTCCTGATTTCCCAACAGATGCTCCTTTGGGGCAGTATTGACACGCTCAGGCTCTGGCTTATTCTTCAGGCAGCCAGTGAAATGTGTTCTTACCCCGACGTGTGGCAGCATCTGCATCTTTGAGAAGGAGGAGGGGTCAAGGGCCTTTGTGAGGGCTGAGGGCAGCAGTTGAGGCTCTAAGTCATCTATCTGGTCACGGCCCACCTTCTTAGCCACACTCTGGGATGTCTTAGGACAGCACGCTTAAAGCAGGATGTGCTCCTATGGTTCTAGGAGGAAGGATGCGCTCTCGCTTCATGCTAAACCTGGTGCCTGTCATTTTCTCACTGACATAGGTCCAGCTATTGAACCAGCTCACTGTCCTTTGACAGTGGTGACTCTTCCTGGACTAGGAAGCATGTCTGAGCTATGAAGAGAGCTGGTCCTTGGCATGCCCACTTGTCCAACAGCTCTCCCAGCAAGAAGCCAGCTCCACCAGGCCGCACCTAACAAATATGACGCTGCGACCTCCTGACCACCTTCTCCCACAGAACAGAGGGCCGGGAGACCAGCACATCATCCCACTGCCTCATACCCAGGATGCTAAACATCAGATTCTAACGGAACTGGGAGGGGCAGAAAACGGGGAAAATCTAGATGAACACTTTCAACGCTAGCCAAACAATGTCTTCAAAGAAAAGCAAGTATTGGGCACACTGGAAGCACGTAACGCCATTTATCCTGGTGTGAGATGCTGTCTGTCCAGTTCTCTCTCCCATCAAACACGGCCAGAGCTTTCAGCATGATTTGCACACAGAGGAATGGACTTTTGAAGTAAAGAGAGAGCACTGACTGTTCTGTAAGACAGGCGCTGTAAAGCAGTGGCCAGTGCTCACTCCTGGCCCTCTACCAGCAGGCTCACGCTGACGATTCTAGCTAATGACTCTATCTCACGTGTGATGGGACAGAACCGAGCTCCACAGCATAGCGGATTGCACTTGGCGGAAGGGACTGTATAACAAAGAAGGAATTTTTCTTTTACTTTTCAAAAAGAAGAGCATACTGGTGGGGGGGGGCAGGGAGAAAAATGCAATAATGAATGAATGGAAATCCAAAGTCTCTTTAAATGTTCATTAAAATTAATTTTTTTAAAAAAGAAGTAGGTTACTAAGTTTTTCTTCTGCGATACTGCTTTTCTGGATTCAAACCCTGAACCTTTCAGTTAGCAGCCCAGTGCTTTGGTTTGATCTCAGGGACCATGTGGATAATGATGGGAGACTTCAGAGTTAAAATAGACATGTGTGTATGTGTGTACACACACACACGTCATTCAAACACATACATACACACACACTGGTGTGCACATGCAATCGTGGATGTATACACAACCACACTTACAAACAAGCACATTCATGAATCCTTATGCAGTTGCATGCACGGATAATCATGTCTATGCACAGATGCATGCAGACATATGCACACATGTCCACGCAGAGACATGCATCTCTCTCACACACTAACATCCCCTGTAATACAGGTGGACAGAAAGGGCTCACGGGGAACAGTGGAGAAGAGCAGATGGCCCTTGCTTTCAGACATGAAAGGGCATGGGTGTGACACAGTGGCAGGTTTCCTTGGCTGAAAGCAGCTGATTGTAAATATTTACATGGTGCTTGGCTGGGAAGAGAAAAGGTGTCTCTTGCAGCCCCTAAGCCAAGAAGAAGATGAAAGATGGCTGTTTTCTTATGCACATTTGGCACTTCAGATGCTCACGCCAGTGCTGTCATTGAGAACCCACAAGCAAAGCATCACAGTATAAACAGAACAGCAGAGGAAGCGATGCCAGCTGCATCCTGTGACAGGGTTCTCTGTCTGCCCGCTGACAATGGTCAGGAGCAGTGCTTCTCTC